GGCGTAGCTTGTCCAGGCTAAGTTTTTTAAATAAATAAGTTTTTTTTAGTTACCTGTGAATAATCCCGGCCTTTATTTTTTTTTATAAAAATATATTAAAGTTTAAATTACTATTTTTTAAATCCTTTTTTATAACTATAAATAAGTTTACTTATAAAAGGTAAACAAGTTTTTTTTAAATAATTTTATAAAAGGTTATTTCTAGCTACCGCGAGAATACTTAAGTAACTTATAATATAAGTATAGGTTATTCTTAATAAATTAATTATATTAATAAGTATTAAAATTATAAGGTTCTTGGCCTTAGGGATTTATAAATAATATAATAAAATATAATATACCTAAAAAAAAGGTTTATAAATAATAATTTTTTAAAAAAAATAAAAATATTAAAATTAATATTAAGGTTTAAATCTTTAGCCTCGCGGAGGCTAGATATTTTTAGTATATGCTAAGTTAGTACCTAAAGGCTAACTTAGTTATTTATAAGTAAAGCTATCCGTGGATATCTTTAAGTCTTGTAAAAGGGCTATATATAGTATAATAGGCCTTACATAAGCTTATTATTTAATTTTATAAGCTATTTTTATAAGCCTAAGTACTAATAACCTTAAAAATATTATACTAAAAATATCTATAATAAAAAATAAGGATTTACTTAAGTTATTATATAATATTATATTTTTTTAAATTAATATTATAAAAATACTAGCTAAAACCTAAATAATTAATAAGTACTTAACAGGTGCTTTACAAGTGCTAACCTATATATGACTTACTATTTATATTTATAACTAAACTATAAATTCTAGAGCCATAAAGGTGGTTAAATAAAACTAGCTTTTTTATTATTTTTTAAATTAAAATAAAAGCTTATTTAAATAATAAATAATACCTCTTAATTATTTTTAGGCTAGTAAAAACATGTAAAAAAGTAATAATTATAAGTAAAATAAGTAGTTAGCAAGCGCTTGTTAAATACTTATTAAATAATTAAAACTTACTTTTATACTAGTTTATAAAAAATATAATAAATAAAACTTTATTTATTTTTTTACCCTAAATTTACTTATAAAATATATTAACCTTAAATGAGCATAGCTTAAAAAGTAAGTATATATTATTTAAGTATTTATAAAAAATTATAATACCCTAAGTATTATAAAAATATTTTTAAAGATATTTTTAAATAATTAATAAGCACTTGCTAAGTAGCTACCAAGTACTTATATTAACTTTTTTATTAATTTTATATAAGTAAATTAAGCTATTAATATTTTACCCCTAAAAATAAAATAATAAGCACTACTTTTAAAAAATTATAGTAACTTTATTTTTATTATTAAGACTTAAATAAAGTTTAGTAAGTATAAAAACCTTATTTTTTTAGTAATAAGCCTTAAGTTAAGGATTATAAAAAAATTAGCCTAAATAAAAATAAGTACTTAGCAAGTAATTAATAAATACTAGGTAAGTATTTATTAATTATTTATATTAAATTATTTATTTATTTTATTAATTAATCTAGGTTTTTTATAATCTTTTTTGGGGTTTTTACTAAGGCAGGCAAAGAATATTTATATATATTATATAAGTTAAAAACTATATATAAATATTACTTAAGATTTATAGGTATAAAAATAAAAAAATAAACTTTATATAATAAAATTTATATTTTATTAAAGCCTTAAAAATAATCCTTACCTATTAATAATTAATAATTACTTGCTAAGTAATAACTAAGTATTATATAAGTACTTATTATAAATTTTTTTTTAAAATTATAAAGGCTTAATAACCCTATACTTTTTTTATAAAGGCTCCCTATTTTTATTAAAAAAGTACTTTAAAAACTTTAAATTAAAAAATATTATAGTAATATTTTATTAAAAGTGCTTTATTTAAAAAGCCCCTGTATTATTAATATAGGTAATATAAAAATAAAGTTATTATTTATATTTTAATTTATTAATAAGTAGTTATTAAGTAGCTAGCAAGCACTTATTATTTACTATTTTTAATAAAATATTAGCTTATAGTTTAAAAGGGGCTTAAGACATGTATTTTATTTATTAAAAAGTTAAATCTTTATATAATAATAGCTAGTTATTATTAATAAGTAATAAGTAAGTAATTATTAAGTAGTTATTAAGCGCCTAGTAAGTAGTAACTTACCTTTTAATATTTTACTTATTTAAGTTTTTTTTATACTAGGTATAAACTACTTATACTATATAATTTATTTTTATATTTTATTAATAATATAAGTATAATAATAATACCTTAGCCTAGGGTTTAAATACTTATAAATATTTACTTTAAAATATAAATAACTAATTTTATAATAGCGGGTATTAAAAAAAAATAAAAAATTATTTAACTAGGCTTGCTCCCTTTAAATTAATATTTTATATATTAAATTTAGGCTAAATAATTAGCTACTACTTAGTAAGCACTTTATTAATAATTAATAAGTATTTATATTTTTAACTAGTCCTACTAGTTTCTTTCTTAATTAACTACTTATAAGCATAATATAAGTATATTTATTAACATATAACTGGGAATATTTTAAAAGGTTATTAATATACTTAATTTTTAATAACCTTAAAGCACGGTTATGTCCCCTAGTATTTATTAAAAATATATAATTACTTTACTTATATATTAAATTAATAAATACTTTATAAGTATTTTACAAGCACTTTATACTTATTTTAATTATTTTTATTTTATTTTTTAGTTTTTTTTTTATACCGCGCGGGATTAGGTGTTTAATTATTATATTATTAAAAATATTTTTTATAGTTAATAATATATTAAACTAGTGCTTAATAAGTAGTTAATAATTAATTAATAATATTAATATTAAACTTTAATTAATATAAAATTATTAAAAAGGTAAGATTATATTAATTATATAAGATTAGTTAATTAAAATTAATTATATATTTATTACTAACTTACCTAGCTTAGTATTTTTTTTACTTATATTTTAGGGGTGATACTTATATAAGCATTTAAAACACTCACATGACATATGTCCACTAGTGAGCAGGACGCAGGTTAAGCTTATCGGCTTATGTAGGACAAGCGGTTCCGGCCGCGGTGCCGTAGGCGCCATTACCTAGCGGCCCTTGTCTTCCCAACGTAGGTCCCGTTATTTCTAGGGCGCAGGCTTTAATGCCGGGAGTAATATGCAAGGTAAAATAAAGTAAATCTTATTTAAATTATTAAGAATATTATTATTAATAGCTTATTTACTATTTAATACTTTTATTAATAACTTATTTTGAATAATAATACTTTTGTAATAGCTGTAATTCTTGGAGATAAAAGCTTGGAGATTGTATCTAGCTAGGCCATAATAGTAAAGCTATACTTAGTATGGCTAACTAAGCTAATAGGCAAGGGTTATAGTAAGATAAGTAATATATTATATTTTAATACCCCCCTAGGCCCTATATAGTAGTGTTTAGGCTTAAAGAAATAATATAATCATTATAAATTTAGGTTAAACATGGTTTATATTTTATATGATTAAAGGCCTTAAGTAGGACTTCTTATATTAAATATAATATTAAATTTAAAAATTTAAAAAGATTTAGTTAGCCATGCACCTAAATGGCGTAATAATAAAAAAGATAATAAATAAAGTATAAATAAAAATCCCTAAAAATCTTCTTTTAGTAATAATTATAGTATATTATACCTTATTTTAAGACTTTTTAATAAAAAAGGGGGGCAAGGGCCTGGGGGATAGTAAGGTATAAAAAATAAATTAAGTAGTAAAAGGAAATTAATAAAAAGAATAAAAAAATAGAAAAATATTTAGTAAAAAAACTAGAAAAGCTATATATTTATATTTTCAAAAAATTTAACCTAAGGAAATATTTCAACTATAGTAGGCCTAGTATCCTATTTAAAATATATTAAAATATAATTAAAGCTATTAATTTTAAAAATAAGCTTATCCTGGCCGTGAAGAGCTAAAACATGTTAAAAAGTAAAATAAATAAATATATTAATAATAAAAAATTTAATATTTAGCATGTAATAAAGCCTATATAAGTAATTAAAAACTTTAAACTATATTACCTAGGGCTATATTTAAAGGCAGGCAAGCCTTATAACTTTTTAAAATATTACCCCTAGTTATTAAGGCTATAAAAAATATATATTATTAGTTTAATTAAATAGGCAACTCTACAGGCCTAGTTTATAAAGAAGATTATATTTTATTATTTTTATTTTATATAAACTAGGCCTTTTAAAATAATTTTTACATGCTTAAATATTTACACCCACCTTACTAGTAAAAAAGGGGTTATAAAAATAATAAAAAAGTGGCTTTAAAAGGCTAACTAAACGTAAAATATTATTAAAGATATTTAATATAGGCTAAGTAATGCTAAATCTAGAAATTAAAGTATTAGAATAAAGCTAAACTAGCCTAAAAAACTATTAAAGTTAGTAAAAATAATAGTATAAAAAATAAAAAATATACCTAATTATATATTATTAAAAGTGCTAAATATAGGCTAAGTAGTGCTAAATACAGGAATTAAAATACTTAAATAAAGTTAAACTAGCCTAAAAAGCTACTAGAGTTAGCAGGAATAATAGTATAAAAAATAAAAAAATATACCTAACTATATATTAAAGCTAAAGCTAAAGTATTATAAATTAATTAAATAAAATATAGCCTAATAAAAGGTACAAGGTTATAAAAATAAAAAAAGTACTAAAAGTAATGTATAGGGGTAAAAGGTAGAAGGCAGAGCGGGAAGGCAAAAACTAATAATTAAGCCGGAACATCCAGAAACATGGGAGGGGACAGGGACGGGGAGATAGTGAAGGCGAGCTGAGAATTCCAAATGCTGAAGATTATCACGAATCTGTCATACATCATTGCTGTGATCAAGCTACCCTACCTGGAGTAGCCCGGTAGATACATGGATGACCCCGAGTGCACATCCTAGTTCAGGCTTACTATCCAGTCAATCAGCCAACACCTTCGTCACCGTCACACGAACCCCCTGGCTGCCATCTGCCTTATGCGTAATCATACCGTCGCGGTAGGGCGTCACATCCGGCAGGCCAGTCTCGTAGAGTTCCATGTCGAACCGTCGGACGAGCAAGGCAACCACCACGTACATTTCCGCATACGCCAGGCTTTCACACCAGTTAGTTAGTTCCTCAATTCAAATAGGCGAGATACACACTTCTTGCCCATACAGTCCCGCGAGCCCCGGAGAAAAGGAACAAAGTATCTCATGAGAGATTCCCCGGCTGATAACCAGCGCTCCGGGTTGAACTTGCTTGGCTCAGGGTAGATTTCTTCGTTCATGTGCACGAACCACATGGATTGGCTGACTGAGGTCTAGTAAATGTCGTAAGAAGATTGCCTAACGAAAACCGAGGTGGGAAGCTTCACCCCTTGTGGAATCGCCCAGTCTTTGTACACGAGCGTGTTCTCCGTGTCGTAGAGGGGGAACCGGTTGATCGTAACGAGAGAGAGTCGGAGCCCTTCTAGAATAACCGCCCGCTAGGTTTCGTGCTTTAGTCTTCAGCTCTACACCATATATTCTGGTGCTTACCAAGTACGGAAGAGCCTCGAGGGCTGTCCAGCTGGGATAGTCTGATGCGCGCACCAGCACCTGTTTTATCTCTTCACGCAGTCGCAGGAGCATGGGGCGCTCACTCAGCAGATGGAACATCGTGACCGCAATCGCCCACCCTGTTGTTTCTGTCCCGGCGAGCAAGAACTGGATGCTCTCCGCGGTGATGCGGTCCAGCGTGCGCTCCGACGGTGGGAGCGTCGGATCATTGAGCGAGTCAACCAGAGTAAACTTGGAGAAAGGCGTAGCTGGGGCTTGCAGTTTCAGTGCACAGATATCTCGAATGACTCGCTCATTCTCCAGGACGACCCTGGTATCCGAGGACACACGGGCGATGAAGGACGTGGGAACGAGGTGGCGCAGCCTGTCGCCGAATGGGATGAACGTCATCAAGGGGCCGTAATGACTCATGGAGAAAAGCACATCCTTGATGGTATTGGCGCGGTCCGGGGTGTCGAGGAAGCCCAAGGGCAGGCCGAAGAGGTACTCGGAGGTGACATCGGTGCCCATTGCCATCGCCAGCGAGTCGAGGCAGAAGACGGCGCCGGTGCTTCCCCTCTGCTGCACGATCTCCATCATCTTCTCGATGGATGGTTTGAGGCGAGGCTCGATGTCCACGATCGACTTCTTCGAGAAATGCTTGAGGGAATGGTTTCGCCGCTTCTGGTGCAGTTCGTGCTCGCCCGTGGCGACGGTGCTGTCTGACAGGGTGATCAGCATGCGAAGATAGAATTTGTCCTTGTTGCGTTTCTGGCTATTGCCTGGATAGATCTCGGAGAAGTAACTTGGGTCGTTGATGTGAACCTCGTTGGGGCCGACGCGGACGATTGATCCTGAGAAGTTAGTCCATTCCGGAACAAAAGCATCTGACGTACCATATTTCCTATGCAGCTCCTCGATTTTCCAGATGTATCTGCCGGTATGGATCACGTTGTGGTAGAATTCGTAGATTCTGGAGGCAGCGGCGAGTTTAGGGCCAGGGAAGCGAGAGAGAGGGTGCCAATACAGCCGATAGAAAGACCGGCAGATGAGAAAGGCGAACAGAATAAGGACTAACGTAAGCATTGTTCGGGTATAAGGCTTGTAATGTTTGATATGGTGTCTCCCTGCAGTTAACAGGTTCGAGACTGGTCAGATATAGCGTACTATTTCCTTCATGGTCAAACTGAAGGGCTAAGAATTCCGAGAGTTCATCGAACAATGGCTGGATGCGATGATCACAGGGTAAGATTTGATGGATCAAGAAAAGAACCAGGATATCCCTGCTCGAGCTCCCTGTCTGCCTGCATATGCATTCTGAATCACATCGATGCTTGCATGGCATGAATGCTGCACCCTGATAATCCCATTTCGAGCTGGACTGTTCGCAGAGTTGCCACTCGGCGAAGTTGCTGGCAATAATTGCTTATTACACGACTTCCTAAGAGACGATGACTTCTCATCTGCAGGAGGAATAAAGAGAGGCAATCAACCATGAAACCACAGTATGACATCCAGGCGATTTCGACTGCCGATAATTCTTGCAAAACGAGGCCTATGGAACTGTTTCTGTCTCAAGCAGTGATCTGCTTCCTGCTCTTGTATGGGACCTTTCGTTTCGCCACGCTTTTCATGCTAGATGCTGGGCCCTGGATGTGGGCACTTTTCTTCATCGAGTTCGCTTCATACGGTACGCATGAAGACCCTACCATAGAGTCCTTGGAGTGATGGAACAGAATTAACTGTGCATAGGCCAGATGCTTCCATTCCAAATCCTGCGTGTATCTGCGTTAAAGGCAGAGAAGAACTCAGAACAGCTGCCTTCGTACCGTCGGAAATGTCGACTGGTCGGTGGCCAAGTGCCTCTGGTCGACGTGTACATCCCCTGCTGCGGAGAACCCCTGGAGATCATCGTGGGCACAGTCCGCGGCGCCTGTCTCATCGATTTCCCTCAGCACAGGTTCGCGGTGCATGTCCTCGATGACGGGAACTCTCTTGATCTCCGAAAAACCGTCGAAGAGCTGCGCATCCAGTGGCCCAATCTGCACTATCACTATCGGGGCCTGCACGACTCTGGATTCGACAAAGCCGGCAATCTGAACCATCTTCTCCTCAACGAGCCCAGAAGCACCCCGGTCCCTGAATTCATAACCGTCCTCGACGCAGACTTTATTCCCGCGCCGGACCTGCTCCGAGCCGGACTCGCACACCTCGTCACAGACCCCACGCTGGCCATCGTTGGAACCCTGCAGATGTACTACAATCTCCCCCCAGGCGATCCTCTCTACCAGGGCCTGGAGTGGTACTCGGCCGTGCTGACCCCCCAGCTGAACGCCCTCGGAGCGGCAGTCGCCTCTGGATCGGGCTGCATCATCCGTCGCGATCCGCTCGTTGCGCTCGGTGGGTTTCCCACCCTGACTAGCGGCGAGGATATGATCCTTTCCTACGCCCTGGGAGCATCTGGCCATCGTATCATTCAGTTGACGGAGCCTCTTCAGTACGGGAGAGTTCCCGAAAGTATGCAGGGCCATATGTTCCAGCGGAAGCGGTGGTCGGTTAGCTTGGCCCAGCGCATTCGGGCGTGGAAAGATGCTCCCCGGAACCCGATCCCAGCGTCTCGTCGTACGTCGGTGATGCTTGAAGGGGTGGTTCATATCCTGACGCTCTTTTTTCGAACGGTGGAGTTCGTCGTTCTCCCCCTGCTCCTTCTCACAGGCCAACCACTAATCCCTGCGCCGCATCTCGGCATGTTGAAAGTCCAACTTGCCATGGCGACCTTGTATCTCCTGCTTCTGTATGCCACCGAGTACGTCCAGGCTTTCCGCGCTGATTTCCGGGTTTCCATCTTTCCGCATCTCGAGGAGGCATGGATGGCGCCAGGACAACTTCTCGCAATTATTCAAAAGTGCTTTTCCCAGTCAAATTCCAGCCAGTCCCAGGTCACCGGAAGTACCAGCCACGCTTGGAATCGAGACATTCCAGATCGACGTGCTTCTTCCGAGATAGCCATCAACGCCATCTCCCTGCTCGCCACCCTGGCCGGCGCCATATCCCATATCCCAACCATTCTCGGACAATCATACTCTTCATCTGATGGTAAAGGCGTTGTGACGCTCCTCAGCACGATCGCATACCCACCGATGCTGCATCTCGTGTATACCTGCAGCACAACGCACTGGATCCCACTACGGGCTTACTTGTATCCACCTCGGTATCCTGCGTTGCTGACGGCCTTGGGCCCTCACCCGCGGGATCCTGGCGCGCTGTTTCCCACAAAGGCTGTTAGAGAGCGGTTAGTGAGCGCTCGGAGACCGGCTCTGGGGCATCGGAGGCATTTTCTGGCGATCGGGGGGCTTTTTGGGTGCGTTTGTGCTGTGATTTTTGCCTTCACTCCGTAGTTTATGTTTATGTTGGAGTCGGAGGATGAGTCATTCCGGGTCAGGTGACCCCGTGCCCCGCCGTGTATTTCTCTTAGTAGTGTCGGCCGTGTTCTTACCTAGCACTCACTCAATACCATCACAGTTCTTTGGTCATCAGTTTATGAGAACAATTGTGAACGTGAACTGCAGGGAGGGGCTGTTTATTGAAGTCCATTGGGTTGACAAAGGATCAAAACAATCTAGGACTGCGGGAGATTAATGTAAGACCTTATAGGTAAAGTATTTTATCCATATATTTCAGCTGAAGATGTGAGATTAAGGAATTGAGTATTTAGGATGAATGGAGTGGGAAAGAATGGTTATTATCAATCCACGCACACATACACGCACTCCAGTTCGTATACCTAGGTATATGTTTGCATATAGCTATGCGTCCACCAAAAAGAGCCCTGGCCAATAATTCTATTTCATCGAACAGGCAGTGCGCCGTGGAACCAGAGAGACATTCAACGGTGGCTTCTCCCAGGTCGAAAAAGTCCGCTGCATCTCGAACGCAAATCCGGGATCCTCGAGTCTGATATCGAAGTGGTGCAGCAGACGCGCGAGAATCAGCTGCATTTCCGCGTATGCAAGGCTGCGAACAGGTATACTGTCAGCAGGGAATCCCGGACAAATGGTATGGTCTGGATTGGGGCGGTTCAGTACTTTCTTCCAATACAGCTTCGGGGTCCCACGGAAAAGGGCTGGAAGACAGCGAGATCATCCGCAAACGCAGCCGGATTGAGGAAGCGCTCCGGGCAGAATTCGTCTGGGCGCGAGAAATTCGTCGCCGATCGGTAGGCTGCTAGGTGGGAGACGCGGACGGAGGTCTTTTAGTGCATGATCATTAGCTGGACAGGTCTCCTTTCTCCCAGTGGCGACCGGGCCATCATTATAGGGCAAAGAAGGTAAAGGCTCACTCACCCCTCCAGGAACGAACCTTCCATCAATCATGAAGCCACCGTCAGGAACCGTGCGAGGAAGACCGATAGGTGCTGGGGGATACAAACGGAGACCCTCTTCGATGACGGCTCCAAGATAAGGCAGCCGGCTGGTTGACTGGATGGTCACCATGCTTTCATCCTGGAATGCGTCACGCACCTCCTTCGCCAAGACAGCCATCTTCTCTGGGTGTGTGAGCAGCAGGTACAGAATCCCCGATAGTCCCGTCATAGTCGTTTCCCCACCAGCGGTGATGAGAATAGACGAGCTGCTGAGCAGCTCTGAATAGCTTAGGCCGTGCCCTTCAGGTTTTCGAAGGATGGGATCCAGAAAGTCGGCGCGGGGCTCCTTGCAGCTTAATCGGCGACGCACTTTATCTTCCGTGAAGGCAAGATGCTCGCGGTTGCTCTTCAGTACACCCAGCCGAAGAAGTCGGGGGAAAATAGTGGTCGAGTACCGACCCAACAACGGCACCTCCTGCAAAACACGAAGGACAACGGAGGCCTTGACACTCTCGAAGAGACGATGCAGCCACGCATGCAAGCCCCCAGAACTCAAGCAGTCGAAAGACTCGCCAAACGTGAGGTCCCCCACGATATCAAACGTAACACAGCCAAACCAAGTGGCCATATCAAAGACAGCATTTTCGTCCTCCCTCACGCGCTGCTCCAGGGTGTCGATTAGCTGGGTGACGTACCCGTTGATTAACGATTCCTGGCTGCGCAAGGAGCGGTCCGAGAAGCCATTGGCAAAGAGCGCTCGATACCGTCGGTGCTCGGCCCTGCTGCAGTAGATGATATCCGGGCCGTTGGGGTTGCGAACGTACCATTTGCTGTCCTTGAGCATTTCGGGCTCTGCGCGGTTGCGATGCCCGTATATATCCTGCCATGCCTTGCTGGTGATGTAGGATAGCTTGTTTGGGGCGATGCGCACGACGGGTCCGTATTTCTTGTGCATCGACACAACGACCGAGTGTTCGTGGCCGATGAGCGTCGCGTACATGAGCGGGATTGTGCTGGAGGCTTGGAGCCATGGCCCAGGGAAGCTGGCAAGTGGGTGGAAAAATAGATTGTATATGATCCGGCCTAGGAGAGAGGCGATCACCTGGCAGTCCTGCATGTTAGAACTTGGTAGACCCTGAAGAAAGCATGGATGAGTAGAGCTGACCAGCAGTAAGATTGTACCAACAGGCTCCATGGTAGCTGCAGGGCTAAACAGAAGGATGTCTTGTTCTCCAAAGAAGGTTGTTGATATGACAATGGAAGATTTGAAACTGATTCCCTTGAATGGGAAATGCTGAGTTATATCCCCCTGTGATTCCTGGTATAGAGTGCGCTTGCTCTCTTTCGGCTGAAGGTGACACTCATATCTTGATAGGGTACATTCATGAGTCACCGACCTCTGCGGAAACCTTTGCGTAGGACCATTGATTCCTTTTTCTTTTTCTTTTTGTTTTTTTGTTCGTAGCAACCATCATCGTGCACCTTGAACGACATCCCTGCAGTAGATGCAGCTGCCCAGGAGGAAAGTGGAAGTACGCGTATTGGCCGTGTGCTTACCGTACGCCTGTCATCCATAATCCATATGGATTCCTTCGCTTGCATGATCCCAAAAGGAGATCGCTCTAACAGTGCTCAGCCGCCGCAGGCAGTCTTAATCAAAATACCTACTTCAACGCCCACCACTAAATTACTCGCCCGTACGACAGTGATATATGGAGTTCTTAGGATACTACAAAGTGTTAGTGAAAGTATTTGAAATTCTTATTATTTCTAGGAGCTTAAATTGTCTATGAAAAACCCTAGTTAGCTTTAGCTTTTAAATATCATCTCGCTTCTTATTTACTTCTCCAGTATCAGTTCGATCGACAGCTTTCCTTGTACAGTATTTGAAAGGCCTCATAAGGGGTATAAATCACAGAGATTCTGCTTAACAGCATTCACTCTCGCATCTTCTGTTCAATTCCCAACGGTTGTTGGTTTTGAGAATTAGTCACGATGAGGTTTGACTCGACAGTCATAGCCCTGACTGCTCTAGCCTCAGGCTGCGCTGGCCTGAATATCAAGAGCAATGAGCCGGCTGTTATACGCCGTGACGAAGGCCTTCCCATCTACAAAAATGCCTCACACAGTGTTGACGACCGCGTCAAAGACCTCCTGAGTCGTATGACACTCGAAGAGAAAGCGGGCCAACTCTTCCACAAGCAGCTCCAAGAAGGCCCTCTCGATGATGACAGCAGCGGCAACAGCACAGAGACGATGGTTCTCAAGAAACACATTACACACTTCAACCTCGATAGCGACATCACGAACGCGACGGAGACAGCCGATTTCATCAACATTGTGCAAAAGCGAGCACTCGAGACACGACTTGGGATTCCGATCACAATCTCAACTGACCCACGCCATTCGTTCACCGAGAACGTCGGTACCGGCTTCCAGGCCGGGGTGTTCTCGCAATGGCCGGGGAGCCTCGGTCTCGCTGCGCTTAGGGATCCTCAGCTTGTCCGACAGTTTGCAGAGGTCGCAAGGGAGGAGTATCTTGCCGTTGGTATTCGTGCCGCTCTGCACCCGCGAGTTGACCTGTCCACTGAGCCGCGGTGGGCTCGCATCAGTGGTACCTGGGGCGAAAGTAGCATACTGACCAGCGAGCTCATCGCCGAGTACATCAAGGGTTTCCAGGGAGAGGGAAAGCTTGGTCCAACATCCGTCAAGACCGTCACGAAACACTTTCCTGGTGCCGGACCGATGGAGAATGGCGAGGACTCGCACTTTTTCTATGGCAAGAATCAGACTTACCCCGGCAATAACCGCGAAGAGCATCTCCTGCCATTCAAAGCGGCCCTAGCTGCCGGTGCAACTGAGATCATGCCATACTACTCCCGTCCTATCGGCACAAACTGGGAGGCTATCGGATTCTCGTTCAACAAGGAAATCGTGACCGATTTGCTCCGCGGTGAGCTCGGGTTCGACGGTATCGTCTTGACTGACTGGGGTCTTATTACGGACGGTTACATCAGAAGCCAGTTTATGCCCGCGCGCGCCTGGGGTGTGGAGTACCTCAGCGAGCTTCAGCGCGCAGCGAAAATCATCGACGCAGGTTGCGACCAGTTCGGCGGCGAAGAACGTCCTGAACTTATTGTCCAATTGGTCGAGGAGGGCACCATTGCCGAAGAACGTATCGACGTCTCTGTTGCTCGACTGCTCAAGGAAAAGTTTATTCTCGGCCTGTTTGACAACCCATTTATCGACGCCTCGGCTGCCAACAGCATTGTTGGAAACGAGGATTTTGTCCGTCTAGGCCGTGATGCTCAGAGAAGGTCCTATACCCTCCTCACCAACAAAGGGTCAATCCTCCCACTGCCCAAGCCGTCTCCGAGCACAAAGTTCTACATTGAAGGCTTTGACCCCGCTTTCATGACCGAGCGCAACTATACTGTCGTGAACAGCACAGAAGAGGCCGACTTTGCTCTTCTTCGATACAATGCGCCGTATGAGCTACGCAACGGTACCGTCGAAGCCGAATTCCACGCAGGTTCCCTCGCATTCAACGCCACTGAAAAGGCACGCCAGGCGAAGATCTATTCATCGGTTCCGACAGTCGTAGATATTATCCTGGACCGGCCTGCCGTTATTCCCGAGGTGGTTGAGCAGGCCCAGGCCGTGCTTGGTAGTTACGGCAGCAACAGCGAAGCGTTCCTGGATATTGTGTTCGGAGTCAGCAAGCCGGAGGGTAAGCTTCCGTTCGATCTGCCCAGGTCAATGGACGCAGTTGAGGCGCAGGCCGAAGATCTGCCATTCGACACCGAGAATCCCGTTTTTCGATTCGGCCATGGGCTGGAGTATTATCAGCCAATGGTGGAGAACGCTCAGATTACTCTAGCAGCGCTTTGACAGCGCTCAGGCGCCTCAGGCAGTCTTAATTAAAATGCTACAATGCCTATTACTAAGTTACTTGCTTGTATAATAGTAATATTTATAATTCTTAAAATATTATAAAGTATTAATAAAGATATTTAAAATTTTTATTATTTTTAAAAGTTTATTTTATTTATAAAAACCCTAGTTAGCTTTAGCTTTTAAATATTATCTTATTTTTTATTGAATTTTCTAGTATTAGTTTAATTAACAGCTTTCCTTGTACAGTATTTAAACGGCCTCATACAGTGACCACCCAAAGGCCGGCAGGGCGTCACGTGCAGTCGCGTCGCCGTAGCCTTGGCAACCCAAAACACCATCCATCACGTGCCTGGCCTGTTGCTTCCCTTCACTGTCAACCATCATTTAACTCTTGAACTTGGGATTACCAGAACTACCAAAACCCCCAAAATCCATCCATTCATCCTTGAATCGCCCGCCTAGTGGCTGAGATGGCAGACTTCCAGTTTTCCGACCAGAAGCTTTCAGATAAATTGGTGGAATCAATATCAAATCTCCTTGATGCAGCGGGAATCCCACATCTTCTCTGGGGCAATTTTCTGCTAGCCATCTACGGCGTTCCCACCATTGTCGAGGTGCGTGCATTGAAATCCATCGTGGAACCTACTAATACGTCAATAGGGCGTCTCCTTCATTGTGCCCGACACTCTGATCGAGAGAGCTGAATCCATCATCGGTAAATCCGGCTTTCTTCCGTGCCCACGACCATCAGAATGCCCGCACGAAGTTCCGCTGGTATCCCCGCGAGCCGACGCACACCGTCATATCGACGATGACCTTGCGATATCGCTATTCCGGAAATCTGAAATCCTGTTGGATTTTCCCGACCTCGAGAGCGCTTTCGGCAATTGCAGTCCGGATGTAATGCACGCCTCCGACGAAAGGCTTCCGTCATACACTATAGGGCGCGGCCAAGGCCGTCTTAGGTTCAAGAGCTCCATTCGGATTCCCACAACCATGATGTATACAGAAGCAATCATCACGTTGATTTGTCGAGATTGGCACACCAGACGTCAGGGTTATTGGGTGGCAATGTTAACCTACATCATGGAGTACGTCGACGGAACGGATGCTATGTTCAACAGCGAAGACCTAAAGGATGGGTACAAAGAATTCTATTGTGCTGCCTCTCGAGTGGATCGAACGATGTGGCCTATTCTGGAGGAACTGCGTCGCGATTTGATAGATAGAGAGGTCATCACCCTGGCGGAGGATGCTGGGGACGAATCCTGGTGACTCTTTAATACCCAAGATGTCTTTTCGCAAAAGCCACTGTTACAATCACTCAAACTTAGCGTTAGATACCCTGTTCAACAATCCTGAATTTCAACCACTTTGTGCTCATCGAACCCGGCAGACTGCGCAAAATAGTAGCCACGCTGGTTCGCCATGACGGTTTTGCCAGTAGCCATGTCGGTGAACTCGCAGTTCCAGTGAGTGTGTCCGAACGCCCAAATCTTAACCGCCTCGCTTTCCCAGCATTTCTGGCACGCGAGGTTGGTCATAAATCCCGACGAGATCTTGCTACCTGCGAATTTGGGGTCGATGACTTTGTCGCATACCACGGGGCAGTAGTGGGTGAAAACAACGATCTTCCGGTTCGGCTCGGAGGTAGAGATCGAAGCAACCTGTTCATTCAACCAGGTGAGGTCGGCCAGGTGCGCATCGTTATGGGCTTCGACTGACCAGTCGCCGATGAGGTAGAAGTCGTTGAGGCCGAAATTAACGTGGTCCATCTGGTCCCCAGCGATCCGCGAGAAAAGGGTGCATCCGAGTACAGTGACGGTTTCCGAGATATCGTAGCGAGTCTGGTCCAGCAAAACGAGCTTTCCGAGCGTCTCGCCTTTCTGAATGGCTTCGTCGATTTCGGCTTCGAAACGCTTCACGTTTGCTTTTGCTTCGACCCAGCTACTGTGGTAGGGCTCGTGGTTGCCGAGGACGAGAAACACGATTTTGAAGCTGGCCAGCTGGTTGCGAAGGAAAGGGAAGAACCCGTCATCTTGGACGTAGCCGATGTCGCCTAGTAGTGCGAGAAAGGGGGCCTTCGGGCTGATCTTGAACACATCATAAGCGGCAGGAGACTCCAGGTGGAGATCGGACATGACCTGAATGCGCGTGGAAGCCATGGCTGATAATGGCAGAATAGGCTGAAGAGGGAGCGAGGGAGTAGAAGACAAAGCTAGGTAAAGAGTGCGGATTTGAAAGTGGGAGATGATCTCCGTTTGCACTGAGACATGCCCCTGGCCGAACAGGTCCCAGCCCAATCCCGGTCTCGGGCTTGAGGCCATAACACAACACAATTTCTCTTCCAAATGTGTGCCTAGGTGAGGTCCATTTCCTTTTTGCTTTCTCATCCTCACCTCCCAATCCTCCACCTTCATTGCACCTTCCCATTCTAACACCTGCCTACCTCTCTGCAACCTTGTTCACCGTCCAATCCATCAAGTTCCCATCATGGCCCCGGTTGCGCCTGTCCAGCAGAAGCCGTCCTTCGACGAGCTCGAAGAAGCTGCTCACGCCGTCATTGCTATCTTCAAGTCCATGCCTGAGTTCTCCGACGCCCGCCTCGCTATCATCGGTGGCCTCAGCTTGTGGAAGTACCTGAAGAACTTTCGTACCACTGATGTGAGTTCACCATCTCAAATCTACTGGTCTAACACTAGATGTCCTCTGTGTCTAATTGATGATAGGACGTTGACTTCCTCATGACCGTCGAGAATGCGCCCAACAGCGTCAAGGAGAAGTTGCTTGCTCTTCCTTCCAGTCCCTTCGAGGAGCAAGCCCAGTTCTTTATGTTCAAGAGTCCTCGTGGAAAGAGAATACAGATAGACATAACTCCGAAAATGCAGGTAAGACAGCATGTCTATTCTTGTTATACTCGGCGTTGAGAGCTAACATCAAGGGTTACCTAGTCTCCCTACGTTCCCACCGCCGCCGTCCCGATTTCCACTCTTCAACTTGGACAGCTGCCGTACATTTCGGAGCTGGATCTCCTAGTTTTCAAGATCTATTCCTGCGGTCTTCGTGCTACTTCCCAGAAGAAGATCCGTGACGCGAACGATGCGATGTCCTTGTTGGACGTGCTGGCTTCGAAGGGCCCCGTTGTGTTGAACCCCGACCAGCACGCTGCCGTCACCCAGGGTCTTGACGATGTCGTTAACATTTCTGGAATGGGCCACAACTGGTGGAAATCAAGACTGGGAATGAAGTAATGGGCTTTTGGGTTGTGCTCCCTTTGGTTGTGCTCTGCCCAGAATTTTGAAAGATCGAGGCGCCTTCGCGCACATTTCTAGTACCTTATTTCAGTCCCATATCTGTTAACTTCACTTTGGCGTTGGTACAATAGGTACTGGAGTTTTAAAAAAATGGTTTAAGCCTAATTGTTCCTATCTTCTTGAACCGTAGAAGGCTATGAAAGTAAGAAACTACACTGATTTCCTGCACACCTATTGGGAATTCTGCTAGATTGACCACCCGGCATCCTAACTCATTGGACCTATGCCGACACCAAGCTTGACTTTTTTCACCGCAACCCTTTGTCACGCAATCTCTCATCTACCTTTCCAGTCCATTCGAACACCGCAGATTGTCCAGAATATCTGCTTGTTAGCAACTACGTTTTAGGCGCTTGCGATTCCCACGATGAAAATTGGTATATGACGGCCCGGCTGTTATGGCTTGAGGGCATTGAAGGTGCAACACGCGATACGTTCACTTGTGCCCCTGGATCTGGAAATCTTGGTGATGAAATCTTGAAGATTTATTAGCTAGGTATTTATAAATGCACTTAATAAAGCTACTAAGCAAGATGTCTAGGGGGGCGAGAAGTATAGTACGCTCCGACAAAGATAAACACAGACCGGGAAGCTGGTGACCGTGGTAGTTGATACCAGATAGAATGATGTTTGAGAGCAGACATATATGCGGTAAGGAATCAGAGGTGCGGATATCGTCCATTCCACTAATACAGTATGTTTCCTTTAGGCCCAATATATCCAATATATCCTTATACAGGAGAGGCCTCACCAATTGTTGAGGTTGAGGCTGTTTACAACCTGCGGAACTCCGACTCCCCCCTCTGCAGCAGCGCCTCGGCGCTTCCGCACTCCACAAGCTCTCCCTGTCTGAGCACCATAACACGGTCAAACCAGTGTATAAAGCGAAACCGATGTACCACCGCGATAACAGTCTTCTGGGAGAACTCCCTGTCGATGATATCCTGCATGGCTTTCTCTGTTTCCCAATCGACGCTAGATACGATAACGCAACGAAATCATCATCAGCATCTGGACTCCCTGCCCTCGCTCACGCGAGCAGATGCCACATGGGCAGGCATCGAAGAGAAAAGGCAAGAACTAACTCACCTGCTAGTTACCTCATCCAAAATCAACAATTGTCTCTTGGACACCAAAGCACGAGCCAGGGCAAGCAGCTGCTTCTGGCCAACCGACCAGTCCGCAGCGGCGAATTCCATGTCCAAACCACCTTTTGCGCGGATCCGTTCCCAAAGGCGTACCTTTTCCAGTGCCTGAATCAGCTCTGCATCATCCGGGACATCGTGACGAGGATCCAGGTTAAAGCGGAGGGTGGTGTCGGCTATGAAGAATGGCTCTTGGGGTACGACATTGATGCGTGTGCGCAGTGTGCTTCTCGGAATCTTCGTGATGTCTTGCCCGTCTATCAGAATTCGTCCGTCCTGGACGTCCAGCATTTGTAGTATTGCCATAATCAAAGAAGTCTTTCCACACCCTGACGGTCCGCAGATGGCGATCTTTTCGCCCGGCTGGATGCTAATGTTCAGATTCTTAAGTATCGGGATGGTTGATTGGCTGTCACTGTAACTTAGCTTGGCTGCTACTCAAGAAACGTAGCGATATATACTCGTACCGGTATCCAGCCGTAAGGCCACTGATCTCCACTGCACCCCTCTCAGGCCAGTCACTTGATAGGCCCGACTGCGCAATGGGCACGCAGTGTTCCTCTTCCGAAGGTGTATCCTGCGTAAATTGCAGCACGCGTGTCACAGCTCCGATTGAAATCTCGGTCATTGTCCACATCTTGATCGCATTGGCCAAGGACTGGTTGAGCGTCAAGACAAGGTTGAGCGCCACACCAATCGTTGCGGCCTGCAAGCGATCGCGCAGGGATACTATTATAGCAATCAATATAACAGCGATGGCTCCGACGACCAGGTCTAGGACGAGTGTTAGCCATTGCTGGACGCTGTACATCATGTAAAACGGTCTTTGCGATCGGTCGAGGAGGGCATGGTTCTTCTCTCTTAACTGCGGTTCCCATCCAAATGACCGGATGCTGGATATGCCGCGGATGGTCTCGAGGAAGTGTGTGTATAGAGGTGCCTTGGCCTCAATATCAAGTAATCGAACCTGGCGGGAGGTCTGTAGGTAATAAGACTGGATGAAGAAGAGAAGCACGCCGAGAAAAGGGATCGTGACGGCTAGATATTTGCCCACAATGCAAATGATAACTATGTTAATAGAGACCTCTATCATATCTGGCGAGCAAGTTAGTTCTCGGTGCGGGCCTCAAACTGGAATTGGGGCTCCTACTAGTAATGCAGTTGACAGCATAGATTGGTAGCATCATATCAATGAGCTCCAAATCTTGGCCGAACCTATTGGTGATGGACCCTGTATCAACCCTCTGGAAGAAGCTAATTGGGGCCCTGGACTGCGTCAATATGATTACACTCTAGAAGGTGTGCTGACTTACTCCAGCGCTGTCTTGAGCAAGTCGAAATGAAGTTTCAATGAAGTGTTATTGAGCCCTCGAACAAAGAGTAACCTAGATTACGTGTAAGCCCAGTCCAATAGCACTGTTTCGAGGACCTACCAGCAACCCGCTACTAGAGTTAACAATGTCATCCCGAATATCATGCCATAGATGCCAAGGTACATCCCGAGCTGTTTGTTGGGGTAGTCTTCATTGGCCTTTACCCACCATTGAAGCCACAGTGCTAAAGAAAATTAGTTTGAGACCCCAAGTATTGGCAAAACGTACTCTGGAAGCTGTTGCAGAAAGCCTCAATAAAAGTGAAAGCCAGAAACGCAGCGACGAGCCCGTACCCCGCGCTCCGGACGTAGTATTTGTACACGGGCCTTGGACGGGGTCCTTGGTGTTTTGTGCGGGTAGGACTCCCATCTTCAGAGATTTGAACATGAATTTCGGACTCTTGCTTCTTCTCGATATATGTTGGATAATACCCTGCTTTCTCGGTGGTCGGTGCAAGGGGGACGTTTTTCTCCGGCTCGTGAATATTCGCGACGACCTGTCGGTCTCTGGCAATGATCTCATTGTATGAACCTGAGGCTATAACGGCACCATCCTGCATCATCACTATTTGATCCGCCAAAGGGAGCATCTCATCTGTAACAACCCGTTAGGTCCCGAATTCGTTATCGGAAGGTACATAGAACGGCCTTGGAGATCATAGCGATAACGCACATGTACTCATAGCCAGAACAACCGAAATTCCCTCCTTCCTAAAATAGCTGTCCCGTCCAAATAGCTGACAGGAGATGATGGCGATGTTTTTTGAATCAATTCCGCTAAACACATTGTCCAGAACCACGACCCCAATCTTAGAATATACTGCCCGAGCGAGCGCCTGCAAAAAAAAAGACGGTTAAACGGTAAGTTTCACCAAGGTTGTGTCTCGGGGAACTCACAATCCGCTGCCGTTGCCCTCCACTTAGCGAGATGCCATCACTGCCGGCGATATGCCTGTCGCCCTCTTCGAGTTTCTCGATGTCTTCCTGCAGTCCACACGCGGTGCAGACGATATCATACCACGTCTGGTCGAATTCCTGGAAGCCGATTATATTGTTCCGAATCGTATCATTAAGGATCCATGGCGCCTGGGGACAATACGCGGCTCTTGAAAAATACGCTATTCTGGACCCTGTCTTCACCATATGCTTGTGCAGCATGGCCTCGAGGAGAGTGGATTTGCCGCACCCAACTGGACCCACTATCATGGTAACCCCTCGCGGAATATTGAGACTCATATCGCGGAAGACTGGATCCTGTTCTAAAGACCATGAAATAGTCGCATTCTGAAATGACAGCAAAAAGGGATTGGGCTTTTCGGAAGCGGGTTGCTGAAGCTCGGCTTCCTCATCCATGCGTAAAGTGGAGGGCTGCTTGCAGTAAGCTTCGATGCGATCGAAGCACGCTATGGCCTGCCAAATAGCAGGCATAACCTGGCAGAGATTGAGGAGTGGACCTGTCATAAGGGATATTAGCGCGAGCGATGTGAACGCCTGGGCTGAGAGAATGGACTCGTCGTGTCGCGCGAGAGCTATAATGGCGTAAACGGTAAACGTGGCGAATGGCGCAAAGACAACAGGGAGGTTGGCTAGAAGACCATTTATGTGAGCCCATCTTCTGGAAACTGTTTTCTGATCAACCTACACAGAGCCACCTGCCATATTAATAGCTTTCGGAAACGGACAGATGTCTGCACCTCTACCCTGCGCAGATGAGAAACCAGAGGGAGAAGGACATCGTTCAGCCCGAGCATTTGCACAGCTTTCATATTGTTCAGCACGTTTGCTGTCACTGCAAGTCGCTTCTGGACTCGCTCGACCCATTGCTTCTGTGCATGTCCAGACCGGCTTGATATTGGTATCATCGCTATGACGGCACCTGTACATAAAGCTGTTGTCAACCAATGCTCATCGCAAATGACAGCCAATGTCACATATGGAGAAGACATTACCTAGTGAGACCACAAGGGGAATGAAACAGGCGATCCCAATCTGGCGCTCGAGCAACCAAATTGCCACTCCAAGCTCTATGACGCATGCCCATGCCTCATGCAGGTTCTTCAAATTGGCAACTATTCGTTCAACGTCTGTGCCCATCAACGTGATAGCTGCCGAATCACTGAGTCCGGCAGCAGTCATACCAGTCGTTTGGTCATAAATCATGGATATGAGACCAGCTCGCATCATTGTTAACAGGCGGTAGGTCTGCCGCCAGTATACGGCCTGGGCCACCTGTTTCAACTGTCAGCAGGGCATCTGCATTTTACAAGACTAGACTGCGCGCCTACCGCTATTCCCCCATAGACCAGTGTATACGCGCCGACAAGTCCCGCTCCATACACCTTTGGCTCCGACTCGGGGGTTCCCCGGATATAGTCAATAGCTGCGGTAATCAGGAAGGGTTGGGTGAAGATGAAGCAGCTATAAGCCAGGCGTGGAGGGACCGCGGAGATGCATGGCAATCCGTATGCGCGGAACACGGCCTTGATCAAGCGAAATTTGCCCTCTCTACCCTCAGAATGCCAGGTCCTTCGAAGACGGTCTCCCGACGCTTGTCCTTGGAGAGCTGTGTCCACTTGCGGCACATCTTCGACCTCGAGAGAATTCCGGTATCCCGTCTGCAAGAACGGCAGCACCCAAGTAAACAAGGCCCTGCTCCAAAAAGCGCTCCGCTCTTCTTCCGTAGCGTTGGTGTAGGTGGGATTCAATCGTCTTGTCTTGGGAAGGGACTCAAGTATAACAATCGCCACGGTAATCAACAAGGTAATCAACGAAAGATACCGGGAGGCGTCGACGGAATCGATGAGCCAGAGTGAGCGTAATCGAGGTAGATGGCATAAACTGGTTGCTGAAAAGTACAGAACGAGAAGGTCCGAAGGTCTCACGGATCGCTGGTCCTCTGTAAAGGAGACATAAGATGCTGCTAACGATGCAACAATGTTGACTATGGCTGCTGGCAGGGATGCTCGAGTATGGAGGACAGGCGAGCGCACTTGGAACGCCAGAAGCACTAACTGGAGAACAAGTAACACGGCGAGCAGGCACTGTCTGACATTAGGCACAGTGATGGAAGGTACATGTAAGACAAAATACTAACCAGCTTGCAGACTGCTATCCTGCAAGAGTTCACTTTGATTGTTGCATGTCCAAGGAAATAAAGGCGCCATGGTAGGCATAACAAGAAGCAAGCGGTCGGCAGCAGGGTAAACCAGAGATCCTCGAACAAGAGGGTAAAGTCGAAGGCACGAGAATCCACACTGACGCGAGGGCCAAATTGATTGTCAGCTCCCGCCATGGCGTCAATGGCTTTTCTTCCATCTCGGCGAGTGTGGAAACGAGTGTTGTATAAGTAAGTGGCATCTGTGCGGAGTTTGAATTCGGAGTAAGAGGCCGATTTTCCTATTCGGGCAAGTCTCTCTCAACCGCGATCGGAGTCACCTCTGCCTTATCAAGCTCCAATTTTACCAAAGCGCGGAGATTATGCACGTTCTCTTTGGCAGGTTATACGCCGACAAATTTGATTTCTCCAGAAATACAATACACGCTCTATCTACCTTCAATCTCTTCGCGATGACCGTGCTCATGCTCGTGCCCGTTCATGACCTCCTCAGTCCCCGAGCTCATCATAACCGGCACCTCAACAAGTTGCTTATGGAACATAGAAGGATTCATCACCAGCCGCCTACAATGCCGCGCATGATTGGCCGTATCGAAGCGTCGCTCCATCACCGCTCCCGTCTCACGCATCCGGACCAACTTCTCCCAGTAAAACAAGCAGTGTGCAATATGCCACTCCCGCAAGCTCCAGAAGCTCCGTTGCCCGTCGCCCAGTAGCGCAATCTGCGCCTTGCCGATTGGAATCGTGCCGTTCGCGTCCGCATAGTACGGCCAGGAGCCGTCGGAGCCAGGACCAGACCGGTCAAATTCCGCCGTCAGCGCATCGTCCCGGCAGTGAGGAGGGAGCCAGGCGGTTGCCAGAGAATCGTAGACGCATTTTCGGGCGATGGCTTCGTCGATTGTGCGTCCGCAGTCGCAGAGGTTCAGATCTGGGGTCAGCGTTTCGGGCCGGTAGACGTCGTGAGAGGCTGCGGGCGGCCTTATGAGGTGGAACAGTTGGATAGGGAGAGACCCCAGTCCCCAAAGCGCCAGGAGGATCGTAATGGCGCGGGCTGCTGCACTGTCGAGGCGGCCTTGACGCCGGCCATGTTTGTGGATTGAAAATGTATCCGCGGCAGAGTCAACAGTATCTTCGTCGCGAGTAGACTCTTCGGAGTGCGGCAGTCTGCCCTTTGGAAGGAATGGTATCTCCAAAGAGCTCATTTTCAGACGATGGGTGATGCAACGGCACCGGTGTTGTGTATGCAGACAACCAAGGATTGATTAGGTTGATCGCAAGGAATTGGAGTGAACACGGGCAAGGCACGATTTGGTTTATGGCAATAAGAGCTCATACTTTACCCGGAGCCCTCGTATGATCTCTGCTCTTTACCAATCGATGACGGGTACATTAATCGGCTGTGTTCCGGGTCAACTAGAATGCCGCTGAAGCATCATGTCTTAACTGTGATAGGGTGGCTGCCCACTGATGGCAGTAAGCACTAACATTGGAATGAGCACTACTAATGCAATATAAGCGCTACAAGCCCCTTATGATAAGCACCTTACCCGGCTGGGTAGATCGCACAGAATTAGTATACTAGGGTTGCCCAATTAGCACGCCTGGTCTAGGTTTGATGATTTGGAGGGGACCTTGATAGTAGCAAAGGTCCAGAGAGACCTGATTCAGCACTTCGCGCCTATACGAGAAGCTCGATTAAGTCCAGAGCCTAGCAGTGAGAAGGAAAACGTGGTAAGCATGGATAACATTCAAAAAATCGTATCAAAGGCGAGGCGTCTACGAGGTGGGATATTGCAAGATCACTACTTTGTCGCTGAAAGTAGTTGATTGGGGTGACATTGTGAAGAGTCTTCTAAACTAGCATTACTGCCTTAAGCTATCATTTGATTTCAGTGTCCTTCATGGCCGACCTCCAGAGGATGATCCCCAACAGCAATCCCAATCGTGTCCGGCTTTTGTCCGGCGTACGGGTCGCCTATAATAGGTTTCAGTAGCCAAACGGGCATCAGACATTAAAAGCACGGGTATCCATACCATAAAGCGGGTGCACGAGAAGGCCTTGCTCGAATGCATTAAATGAATGCTCGGCCATCCAGCCCTCCAATGGCTCCCATTTGACACATTGATGTTCCGCCTTGTCTACGGCCAAAGGATGTGTTTGCCTTTGGCACACCAGACCGTTAGCATCGTGCAAGAAGGGCGGACGAAAAATAGGAAATGGACTTGGGTACTCACCCGGCTCCCCAGTAGAAGGGAATCAGCGTGGTGTCAGCGTTACACTGTACGTATTGTCTCAGCCAGTCCACGCAGTGTTCTGCATTTCAGACATCGTGCGTCAGCATTTTTTTTTTTTTTTTCAATTACTTCTGAGGGTTTGACGTAACTCACCCGTATGATAGAGAAGGCTTGCTTCGTCCTCCGCGGTCGTGTTGGGGTAGTAAGAATTCCGGTGGATGTAATGATGGAAACGCTTTAGGCAGTGCAGGCCGTGAAACACCGCCAGCGTTGCGAAGTAGCCCGATCCATCGGCCAGCTCAATGACGCTCTCGTCATCAGCGAAGGGGCCAAGTTCATGACGCTGCAGGCGAATGTTCTGATGTTGCATGATACTTTTCCAGGATTCAGCCAGTTCCGGCGTCGGTTTACCGTTGAAGTGCCCTGGTTTATCTGGGTTCAATGTTCCATTTGGCAGATAGACTGGGAGTAAATCTAACTTTTTACCCTCGTATCTGAGGATGTTGCGAACCGGTGCTGTTTAGCTAATATCAGCGCTGTGCGGGAATGTCCGCGATCATGGCGCAGAAAAGCTTACTGTTCCCAAGAAAGGGGTAATGAGAGTATCTGTGTTGAAGCCAGGCGTAAACGAGAGAACAGGATACCAGGTTGAGCGTCACGAAGAAGAGACTTAGACAAATGGAGATTTTGTGTCGGGCAAGCCACGACGGATTGCGCTCTCTGACTGTGAAGCTCTCTGCACGGTCTTTTTCAAAGGATGTTTCATCTCCATTGCGGAGTAAAGACTTTGCCGAGTCGCTGTCCTCGGCGTTCAAGCTCGAGTATTTCTCCATTGAGAGTGAAAAACATTCAATCAAAGTTTCCGTGAGAATTTCTCATCAGCACGCGACGCCGTAGACAGGAGGAGCATATAATTTTTCGTAGGAATTGGAGAAAGAACGACGTGCACCAATCAAAATTCGATGCGTAAGCTTATACTGCGGGGGAAGGCAAATCAGCAACCAGGGGGTAAGCGCGCATAGTTATGTTGACAATGGTATGCAGGCCTAGATCGAACCTACAAGCGGATATGCTGTAATCGAATACGATTGAAGCGTGGAATCGCTCTTGCCATGTTCAGTCCATTACTTCAGGCCCAGGAGAAAGGGTTCAAGAGCACTATATAAGATACTCAAGTGTATTCCTCTGTTTTTTTTTTTTCAAGGCATCAGCTTCAATCCACATCTCAACCCAGTATTAATTTTAACATCCTACCCGCTTTCGACACTGAACGATCCCTCAAAATGCGTCTTACAAATACCATCTACCTTGCCTGTGCTTTGGCCATTGGGACCCAGGCCCTTGTCGCACAACCTCCCAAGCTCAATGAGGCCATGAAGATAACCAAGCGCGACGAGGCCGACGAGGCCTGGAGGATCAGCAAGCGCGACGAGACCGACCAGGCCTGGAGGATCAGCAAGCGCGACGAGGCCGACGAAGCCTGGAGGATCAGCAAGCGCGACGAGGCCGACGAGGCCTGGAGGATCAGCAAGCGNAGGCCTGGAGGATCAGCAAGCGCGACGAGGCCGACGAAGCCTGGAGGATCAGCAAGCGCGACGAGGCCGACGAGGCCTGGAGGATCAGCAAGCGTGTCAAGGCAGACGAGGCCTAAGGGACCAGTGAGTATACATCTTTGTCACCTGGCTGGACAATGCACTGTACTAAGGGTTCAAAGCTCGCATGTGGACATGGAACTCGCTCAGATCAATTATCATTGACACTCAGTCAAACGTAGAGAAAGGCTTTCTCGATTGGTCAAGTTGCGGTGTATCGATTTCCATGGCTGGTTGTCACTGAAGGGATTTTCATGGTGGTCTGGGAGTATGTTAGTCACAGCAGGTTGTCGGGGTGCTATTGAGAATGAAAAATGTTTTAAGCAGATGCACAGTGCGGTTCGCTAGCATGTAGTTCCCATTCCTTTCTTGTCGCGTGTATTGCATTGAATCAGTTGACTGCTTGAGGATTGCAAATGGGTAAGGCACTAAGTCCAAGTAGTTTGCCCGCCTGAGCAAAACGGGAAACGACCTCCGTCTTCGTGCTGGCCCGCTGGGTTCGGGATAATGGATTGCTACTACTCGACCGAGCGACCGAGGTTAAAGACGAGGACAGGCGACAAGCACGAATCCGTAGGGTCTCTATGATGGAATGACCCCTGACAGGACTTGCACTCTAGTCAGGCGAAGCTCAACAGTGAGTCCTGCGGCCAGTGGATATCATCACACCATGCCATAAAATCGAAATCATCCGGCATATCACTATCATCAAACCAGGGTTCAGATGGGCCAGTGCGTGCATCGGCGGACCACGGAACACTCTGTCCCACATCAGGAGTAAGTGCCTGATCCAGCACCCGACGAATGAATTTGGCTCCGTTTTGAGCAATATCGAAGTTGCCCTCATGCGGCTGTACCAGGGAGCTCAAATGCGAGACAAAAACACTGAGCTTCTGAATGGCGAGGGAGCGGAAGTTGGCTGGCAAGGACAGCGCTGGCATTGGAGACAGTGCTTCTAAATGGCGTTCAGAAAGCAGTTGCGAGGTCAGGATACCTGCGGCGGGTAGGCCCATGTAGCACAACTTTAGGATAATGAATACGCTCTCGAAAGGGGGTTGGATTGAGTGGGTAGACTTACATCCCAGGACATGTTGATCATTCTTTTCCCAGACAGGGTGTGCATGGCGATTGTGGCTAGGAGAGTGGTGATTATTTCAAGGGAGCTCTCAATGAGGCCTTGATCCATGGTGCCGAGGCGCTTGAGCAATATTCGACGCAGCAAGAATTCTTGATACGTAAATTCGATATGTGCAAATGCGCGAGCTTCATCATGTGTTGGGCTTTGGGCTGCAGCCTCCTCTGAAGACCAACGCAGGAATGGAGGGAGGCCTTGTTGCGTACAGCGAGATTGGTTTATCAACTTTCTGTTCGTAAACGTTACCGTTAGTCAGGGATATAGCCGTAAGGGGTATTGAGGTATACAAACTCAACTCTGTCCTGAATATGTTGAGTCTCCGGGCTCAATGACAATTCCAGTATGCTCTCTCGCAACAAGCTGGTCAACAAGGCAACGCGAAGCCTCACACCGACAGTCAAATTCCCTTCGCTGTTCCAACCGTCCGCGTCAAGCGTGAGCATTGCCACATCTTTGTTTGGCTGGGCAACTATCTCGTCGTAAGTAAGATCGAGTGGCATTGGGAGGTGACAGTATCGAGAGCAAATGCGAGGGGGTCGCCCCAACGAGGTTGCCAATTCCTTGTCGATTGCGTACGCACACACCATGACCCGTTTGCGTATCTCCAGCAAAAAGAACGGAAAGTTATCTTCAAGTTCTTGGTCAAACTGGTGCAAGCCGAATCCATAGATGATGGTCGACAAATCCCCGAGCGTCTGCCAGACCCTGTAATCTAATTCAACTTTAGTCCTTGTGTTGCTACCCCTGAAACAAGAGGGATCAAATACCGCTATCACCGAACATCTCAGTCAGAAAGACCGTATGTTGGGTCATGAGCCAACAAAATGGATCACTAGTCGTCCCAGCTCGGTTGCAGAACTGACAGCAAAGTTCACATATATTGGTGGACATACTTCTCAGCTGATCTTTTGCAAGATTTCCCAGATTCCGGTGGGTGAAGATCGGGTCATCATCGTCAGTGTGGAACAATGCTGTTCCTAGCAGAGCAAAGACCAATCCGACGGTCTCCCATCTCGCCGCAATCAAGTCAAAATAATCGTCCATGCCCATTGCCGCATGTGACCGAATGTCGCCTGATGTATTGCTAAAGATTTGGCGGGACAAACCAATTAACGATGTATGCGTATCGTCCGAACCACAAACGGCAGCATCATACATCTTCTCCATGGATTTGCACAACGCCCAGGTCAAAGGCGGCCCCAGAAACCATCCAGGGGAAGTCCTATTCTTTAAGTCAATGACCTCCTGAAACCAGCGAATGTTCTGCAGATGGGACAGGATCTGCGCTCCCAGCAAAATCTGATCTCGAGACGCGGCGGTTGGTGGCATCTGTGCTGTGAAGCATTCTGCTTCTTTACCAGGCAGAGTACCCTCATACTCGCTAAATATGTCCTGGGGAGAGACCAACCCAAGGAAACCTGGCCGCAGAGTCCGCTTCTCCTGTTCAGCCTGGTCGCATAAGACTTTCCTCTCCTCGATAGGCGTACTGGATATTCTCGGATCCAGACGAAATACCAATTGGTTGCCAGGGTGCCGTTGCCGCCGAGGTCTTCGCGACGTACCCGCAAGCCTCAATGGTCGCGCGCGGGGCTGCGTTAGTGGAGCAGGATGGTAGTAGCAACGTTCGGAGCGGCCATTACTGAGGCACCGTCCACAGGCAGGGCTTTGGTGGTCGCATCGCAATTTGGCCTTGCGGCACGGCTCGCACGATGGAAGCTGCCCGTTGCGACGAGTAGTCGCCATTGTCAAGAGACCAATTGATGGGTGACCGTAAGAGGCAGGAGCCTGAGGGAAGGTTCCAAGGGAAAAGGAACGATCTTCGGATCTCGGCTTCGGAGGTAAACATCTGCTTGCTCCTTCTGGCAATTTTGGCAGCTGAACTCCGAATGGACCCTCTGCTTATCTTTGCTTATCTTTGCCCTCTGAAACACAGCCCCGCAAAGACCAAGCGAAGCATTCGTGAGGGCCTATGAGAAAAGCTTGGAAAGCCAGGGACTACAATAGTGCGAGCCGCTACTGCTTGTCGTTATATCACAGACGCACTCGGGACGGATGAATCCGCCCTTCTGACAGGGGCACAGGCCAATGGACGCCTCTCTTTGCAGATCATGGATCATACCTTTCTGCATTTGCGTACGATTGGGCAAATCTATCTCCAACCGATCAATGTCGTTTAGCCAGCCTAACGCCATCTAACTCCTGAGGCAAGAAGTATCCTACAATAAACCCGAGGTAACCTCGATTCAGGTACTTTGGCAGGGCTGAAGCATGCTACCTAATGAATCACTCTCCACGTCATGTCGCTGCTCACTGCTACTACGTTCCCAAATGCTCCGGACTTCGCCGCCTCGACCATGAACACAAGCGTGGACTATCAGACACGGAGGAGACTTCAAAACCGTGTTGCGCAACAGAGATTCCGTATGACTCTCCGGTGCTACGAGACTCATAAATCACTGACCCTATCAGGCGAAAAAAGTAAAAAGCAGATACATTCCGACGCAGCTCGGACGGGTTGTTACAGCTCTCCAGCCCTTTCAACAAGCCCCTTGAGAGCTCAGATGGGCCATATAAGCGGCTCTGATACCATAGCAACATGGCCACAGACATCATTACCACTCTTGACTCCCACACCGCTGGAATCTCAGGACGTTTCACAGCGATCCTTCAATCTCGAAGCAATACCAATGGGGCAATTTACACCCCTCCCACCTATCGACCGGGCTAGCAATTCGCACGACAGCGAACCGTGTCTTTACACACCCCCTCTCACTGAGATATGCTTTGACTTTGAATCACTGTGCGCCCTTCCCCGGCAGCTTCGTACAAGCCGAACAAGGCGTTACTGACTAGTATCAAGCCCTTGTAGTACGCCCTTGGAGCTTGATATGAGCATTTCACAGGCACACGAACCATCAGAGGAGCCGGACGTAGAAAACCCAATGTCCTCTACCTATTCTGAGACACGAAATCTTCTATTGGATGGTACCGAGGACATCATCCAAGCCCGACTCACCGACTACCAAGACCAATCTGTAAGTAGTCACCCCATTTTGTTCCCCGCATAGGTTCACTTGATAGCTGAAGCATTGGCTAACAGACATGCTCACAGAGCCCTGAGAACAAAATTCAGATCAATGATAAGGCTGCATCAATCCTGCAGAAACAAAAGATCCACCTCGGAAGGCAGGCCGACGAGTTAATACGAAAGTTGATATCGATCTACGATCTCGGAGTTTCCCTGGAGATATTTCCCGGCGATCCTTATTTCAAACAAGTGCTGGAGACAGCGGATACCAGGTTTTCTTCAATATGGAAATAGCTGGTTATGTCAATCAGCAAAATCTGTCAGCCAATGGTGGAGATCGCTTAGTTTAATAAGGAAGCGCTGCAGCGCTTTAATAGTGCTCAGGCGCCTTAAGCAGTCTTAATTAAAATATTATAACGCCTACCACTAAATTACTTGCCTGTATAACTATAATATTTATAGTTCTTTAAATATTATAAAGTATTAGTAAAAGTATTTAAAATTTTTATTATTTTTAAAAGCTTAAATTATTTATATAAACCTTAATTAACTTTAGCTTTTAAATATTATTACATTTTTTATTTAATTTTTTAGTATTTATTTAATTAATAACTTTTTTTTATATAATATTTAAAGGGTTTTATAGTTATAAGCCCGGAAAACCACTTAATAATTTAGTTTATTAAATTTTTTTACCTTTTTTAAACTTTTTAAAATTATTTATATTTTTTAAGTACTAGCCCTTTTGCCATATAAAGGCCTTTTATAATTAATTATTTTTTATACTTAAAAAATTAAATATTAATTAAAACTTAACTTTTATACTTAATTTAAAAGTTATTATAAGCTTTACTACTAGCACCTTAAATATAATAATTTTTTTAAAGTTTAAAAAAAACTAGCTGGTGTGGTATAGCTATATTTTATATATTATAATTATTATAAAAGTTTAAAAGTATTTTAATTTAAAAGTAATTTATTAAATTTTTTTTAAGCTTTTTTTACTCCCTGGAGATAATGCTAATAAAAAGGTATTTAAAATATTTAATTAAAAATAAAACCATGCTAAGCATATTTTTTTAAAAATTTAAAATATTAATAATATTATATAAAAGTTAATTATACTTTTTATTTAGTAACTTATTAAAATAAGCTTACTATAAAAATTTTTATTAAACTAAAGTAATAACTTACTTTTATTAATTTTAAAACTAAATTTAAGGCTTTTAATAATTATATTACTATTTTTATTATATTAATTTAATAAAAAAAAGTTACTTAATAGCTTTAAAATTATAAGCATGTTTATTAAAAGATTTTATACCTTAAATAACTTAAGGCTAATAATAAAATAGCTAATATAATATTTTTAAAGGTTATTAATAAATATTTAATAGCTTATGCAAAGCACCATGTGGATTAATTAAATTATAAAAAATTTAGTAAAATTAATTATTTTACCTTTATTTTTAAGTTTTAATAATATTTTTTTATTATTAATAGCTTTGCTAAAACCTTTGCAGGAGAAATAGCCTTTATTATACTTACTAAAAAGTTAAATTAGCCCTTTACTAGTAATTTAAATATTAAAGGTTTTTTTATTAATAAACCTTCCTGGGTATTAATTAATAATAAATTAATTTATTTTTATAAATACAAGTATATTATAAAGTTTTATTATAACTTTATATATTTACGCTGTTTAAAGTTTTATTAAAAAAAATAAAGGCTTAAAAAAAAAGATTAGCAAAGTGCTTAAAAAAATAATAAATATAGTAAAAAGCTTTAAAAGTTAAAGGTTAAGAATACTAAGCTTTTTAAAAATAAAAAAAAAATATTAAAAATTAGAAAGCTTAATAAAATAGCTAAAAAAACGCGTAATTTATAGTTTTTAAAAAATATTATAAAGTAGCCCTAATATTTAGTATTTTAAGTAATTTAAAATTTTAAAATATTTTTATTTTTAATACCGGTGCCTTTATTTATATTTATAATAATTTTAATTATTTTATTTTTTTAAATTAATTTTAAAATAGTAATATTTAAGCTAGGAATATAACTATGGCTATATAAGGTTATAAATTAGTTTTTATTTATTTAAAAGTATTTAATAAAGGGATTATATTATTTATATTATATAAAGTTATATATATTTTTAAATTTTATCTTAATATTATAGTAGCAAGGCCTTTTTAAAAAGCTAAATATACCTAGAATTTTAACACCCTTATACTTAAAAATAATAAACTAGTTTTTTACCTTAAAAATTATTTCTTAGGCCTTTAAATAATAAAACTAAAAAAAAGTTTTTTAAAGTTAAAAAAGGCCAACACTCTAACTTAATAAAAAGTTAAAACTTTAACTTAAAAAGTATAGCTTTAAAAAAATTTTAAAGCTTTTTACTAGTGCCTAAAATATATTAATAATAAAGTGCTTAAGTATTTTTTTATAATAATATAAAAAATTAGTATTTTTAATTCTTAACTACCTAAGTATTATAATACTTACTAGGTTAGTTAGGCTTTTTAATAAATATTTAAATAGCTTAAAAAACTAGTTACTAAGTTATTTATTTATATTTATACTGATTTTATTTTTATAAAGCCAGTAATAAATAAAAATTAATAAGTAATTTATTTTTATAATAAATTTTTTAAAATATACTGGGCCTATACTTACTAGCTTAAAAATAATTATAAAAATATTATTAAGTAATTTATATAATTTATATAAAACTATTATAAAGTTACTTTTAAATTTTTATTTAATAATAATAAACCTATTTTTAGTAATAATATTCCTAACTTTATTACCTTTAAAGGTATTTTTTAAAACTAGTTTACTTTATATTTTTTATTTTAAAATAATATAGCTAAGCGCTCCGGAGGCATCCTAATTTAAAAAGTTAAAATAATAATTTTATATAAAAATATTTTACTTAATATATAGCCCTGGGTTATAAAAGTAGTAGCCTATATTAATAATTAAATTTTTATTAAAGCTATTAATTAAATAACTTTATAAAAAAAACTTACTAGTAAAAAGCCTTATATTTTAAGTATTTAAATTATTAGGTGTTTCTCCTGGGTTGTGAGTCGCGTTTGTATACTGCGGTGAGCTTGGGAGAACGTGAATTACTGCAATAGGAAAGGCGTTGTGTATTTATAGTAAAAACTAATTACTAATTTTTTTAAGTTAAAGTTTAAAGTTAAACTTAGTATTTTATATATTATATAACTAGCCGCTACCTTAGCACGCGGTTAATTTAATATTAAAGTTTTTTTACCTAGTAACCTTAAGCCGCTGGATTATATTATTATAATATTATATAGTTATAATATTATAATAATAATAATAATACTTTTTTTTTAAGTAATTGCGCCCTTGTAATTTATAAATTTATATTTATATTTTATAAAACATAATTTAAATTATAGATTTTATTAAGTGCTATAAAATAAGTTATTTTTAAATTTATAAAGTGTTATAGTTCGCGTGCAATTTATATTTAAAGTTAGGTATAAAAAATTAATTTAATTACCTTACTTTACCCTTAAATTTAAATATAGTGTTACTGCCTGCAGTAGCTAGGTGTAATATTTTAGTTTTAATATTAAAGTGCCTTTATAAATTTTTTTTTAAGTCTTTTTTATAACTTAATTAAAAATACCTACTATAAGTATACACCTTTTTATTATATTTTTATTACTTTTAATTATTTAATTATATTTTTAGGGTTAAGATACCCTATATTTATTTTTTTTATGCTTTTTAAGTATTATATTATTTATTTTAATAATATTAATCCCGTGTTAATATTATTAAGCTTGTATATTTTATTTTACTTTATGCTTAATTTTTATAATAAAGCTTTAAGCTTTAAATAGCTAAATCTTCTTATTTTTATGCTTTTTTTAATACCTTTAGTAATTATTTATAATATATAGTTATTTTATTTTAGTTATTAGCATGTTACCATGTTAATTTTTTATTTACCTTTTTTTTATATTTTACTATGTACTTACCTTTTTAATTTAATTAATAAGCTTTTTATATTTAGCTCTTGTTATTTTTATATTTTTAAAGCTATTTTTAGTAGTTAAATTAAATATAGTTTACCTTTATTATGGCCTTTATTATACTATATATTTTTAACCTTATTTTTTTTTAAGGTTTCCCATGCTCGCCCTTTGCTTTATATTTTTTTATTTTAATATTTAATATAGTTTTATATTATATTTTAAATATTATTATTAGTGGTTATTTATTTTATTATAGTGTTTTATTTTATATTTTTTTATTATAGTAATTAAGCCTTAGTTTTAACTTTTATTTTTTATTTTACCTTTAGTATATAAAATTATATTTCCCTGCTTTTTACTTATATATTAATAATTATTAATATACTAGCTATTAAAATAACTTAATTTTATTATTTACATGCCCTTATTATTATTATTATTACTACTACCCTTATTACTACCCCTGCTGCCCCTGCTAATAAGGCTTTTATTAATATTTTTTTCCTGCTGCCCCCAGGCTTTATAGCTTTATTACTTAATTTTTATATTTTATAATATATTATATACGTTACTACCGCGGGGTGTTATAATAAAAATATATTTATTATAAATATTATAATAAAAGCCCTTATATATAATTACTTAGGGGGTAAAAAGTACTAGTTTTATTATAATATAAAAAGGGTGCTTTTAAAGTATATAACTATTAATATTACCTTAATAAGTAATTAATTATAAGATATTTTTAATACTACTAATATTATATATATAAAAGTTAATAATCCGCAAGCTTGTAAAAACCTTGCTGCCTTAAAAATAGTTTATTAAATATTTAAAATAGTTATTAAATAAACTACCGCGGCTAATAATACGCAGGTAGCTAATTTTATAAATATTATTATATTTATATTTAACTTTACTTTGCAGGTTAATACCCCCCTTAATAAAAATAATAATTTATTATATAAGTTAGTTTTTTTTTATAGTATTATTATATTTTAGTTTACTAATTTATTATAATAGTTTTTTTCTTAATTTTTAAACCTTTATTTAATGCTGCTTTAATAACTATAGTTTTTTTTTATATAGGTGCGGCTTTAGCCACTAAGTATATATTTATATATTTTAATTTATACTGCATTATATTACTAATTTTTTTTATAAACTTTTATTATTTTTAATACAGGGTTTACTACGCCTTAATACTTTTAAAAATTTTTATTAAGGTTACTTTTATATTAAGTATTAATATTAGCGCCCTTGTGGGCTTAG